TCAATGTTTCTATCTCTCTCCCCCCTCCCTTCTTCTCTCTCTAATATCAATAAAGAAAAAAAATCTGTTTTGTTCACCCCTGTATATTCAGTGTCTGGTACATGGTAACGCAGTACTCAGTAATATTTATTGTTAACTGAATGTTATCTATGATAAATTCAGCTATTACCTATGTAGTTTCACTTATCACCTGTTGCTAATAACCTGGCAAAGCTCCTACCCAAAGCCTTCCTGACCTCTATATATAAGTCTACAAAAGTTCTCCATTTTAGATTTTACACAAATCCTCAATCTATGTAAGTATGGTCTCTTCCTCCATCCAAAAAAAGCTCCTCTTACTACTTTTAGTATCATCACGTACACAAAATAGAAGAACACTGGGAGACCTATTTGGTTCCACTTCTCCTTCAACTCTAACTCCCAACCCAAGACTGTATCTTTTCCATTCTATCCTAAATCTTTCTCAAAATATCTGTCTACTACTGTACCTCCTATGCCTTCATTTAGACCCTAGTAACTTCTCATTCTAACTACTGTAATCACTGGACTGATAGATGTCCTTGTGAAAGTACCATTCAATCCATTACACAATGTATCATCAGAAACGAGTTTCTAAATGCAAATAAAAATCAAGTTACCCTCATGATTGTATTTGAAAATTTTTAAATTCTTCAGTAGCCCTTCAAGAGCTATTTGACTACTTTAAAAAGCTACTGCGACTAAAAAATAAAGTACAAACTCAACATGTACCATAGGATCTTTGTAATTTGCTCTATACTTACCTTTCAACCTCATCTCTTACTTGAACACCAGCCAAATTAACTACATCCAGCTTCGGGGGTTCAATAAGCTTTCTTACATCCAAACTGTTCTTTTTGACATGCCTTCCTCTTCTTATTCAATAGTACATTGTTACTCATTCCTTCAACACCCTGCTCAAATATAACCTTTTCTATGAAGACTCCACTAACATCTCTAGACAGATGCCTTCCTGTTCACCCTCACTGCATCATATGCAAATCTCTATGGTAACATTGTAACATTATACCATAAACTAGCAGTTAAGAGTAAAAGATCTGGGATCAGACAGCCTGGGTTCAAATACTAATTCTAAAACTTAACTACAGCCTGGCTGATGTGGCTCAGTGGATTGGGCGTTGTCCCATGGACTGAAAGGTCCTGGTTCAATTCCCGGTCAGGGCACATGCCTGGGTTGCAAGCTCAATCCCCAGTAGGGGGTATGCAGGAGGCCACCGATCAATGTTTCTCTCTCACACTAATATTTCTCTCTCTCTCTCCCTTCCATTCTCTCTAAAAAAAATAAATAAATAAAACTTAACTAGATAAGATAATCCTTCTAAGATTTCAATTTCTTCATCTGCAAATGGGAGCAAGTAATAACAAGGTTGTATTAAAAGCAACGAACTGATATATAATGCTGAATGCAGTATCTGGAATACAGTAAGAGTACCTATTACTAATTACATGGCTTTAATTGTTTGTTTATAAACGTCTCCACAACTGGAAGAAGAGACATACTTTCTACTTATCTATATATTTCTAGCACCTGCCCCTAAGATAGCTAACAGAAGCTCACATTTATCTAGCACTCAAAACACAAATGACACACTAAGCATTTTACAAATATCAACTCATTTAATCCTCTTAACAAACATATTAAGTAACTTGTTCAACCAAGATCACACAGCAGAGATAGTATTTGAACAGTCTATTTCTAGTAGCTAGGCCTTTAACTACTATTAAAATTCTCAATAAAATTGTGCTAAATTGTTAAATAAATGAACTCAAAATACATCTAAATGGCCTTTACTATATCTTATAATTAATGAGTGAATGCCTAAGATATTAAAACAGTCCCTCACTCCCCATCACTAATTTCATCAATACTGAGGAGAAATCACTCCAACAACAAAAAGGCAGTCATGGAGATACCTTAAATTCCTGGTATGCCAAGACTAATGTCCTCTTACTAACATTCAAAACCTGCTAATATCCAGTTCTATGCTAGTAATTCAACATATTTTTTACCATTTCCTAACAAATGTTCTACTGTTTTATCTCACACTGCACTGCAGACAGTCCTAGCTTTGCGTGGTACCATGTTAACTGAAACTTACGCATACCAGAACTGAGATCAAATCTCAGTCACCACAAAAAATGTATAAAGCATGGACACCATTATGATGTGCAGGTTTCCATTAACACAGTGCCATGCAAAGTAAGGACTGCCTGTGTTATAACACTTTTGTGTTTTCTACATCTCCACAGTGTGACTTGCACAAGGTAGGCCCTCAGATATTTGTTGATCTGATGGACCAATAATTGCAATGTCTCTTGTATTTATAGTAGTTATTTATTCCCTAAAGCTGAAGTTGAAGTTTACTCCACCTGGTAAGCCCTCTTTCTATTTACCTAAATCTTAATCATCGTATGAGCCTGCTTCTTCTGTGAACATCTCAGATTGTTAGCATAGGTAGTTAGCAAGATCACACCAATTCTTACTTACTCTTAGTATGCTGTGAACATGTGGAATAATCTGTATCATTTAATACAGCAACAAATTACATAAATTGGTACTCTATGCCACTTTTTGCTTGTTATCTTCTATGTACCTTTTCCTACTTGCATTCAGTACATGCCTTATGATTTTGGTTCCTCCGTAAAAAAAATTTTACAGGTTAATGAAGGATGTTATTGTGATTAAAGGCAAAGGATTTGAAGTCACACATGCCTGAGTTCTAATTCCACCAGAAAAGTCATGCAACAAAAAGTTGCAGTTTCCCCAGAGGGTTAAGAAAGTTATTGAAACTAGCTTACTTCATTTCTAATAACTGTTCAATTCTTTATGCAAAAAAGAAAATTATTTTAATATTCCAGATTTTAAAAATGCTGTAACAGCCCTGGCCGGTTTGGCTCAGCGGTTGGAGCATCGGCCTGCGGTCCGGAGAGACCCGGGTTCGGTTTCCGCTAAGGGCATGTACCTCGGTTGCAGTTTGTCCCCGGCCCTGGTTGGTCGTGCGGGTGGCAGCCACTCGATGTGTCCCTTTCACGTCGATGTTTCTCTCTCTCTCTTCCTCTCTCTCCTTCCCACTCTATCTGTACAAAGAATGGAAAAATGTCCTCGGGTGAGAATAAAAAATAAAATATGCTGTAACAGTCAAATCCTACAAAATTAAAATTAAGTATGGAACTATAATGTGCTATTTGGTAATATTTTATGTAAAAATCATTCCATATATTTCAAAAAGGCTGTTATGTTCCAATGGAATGAGCTGAATATAAATGCTTCTTTCTGGTGATGAATCTTTTAAGAAACACCATTTCCTCCAAGCTCATAAGATGATAGCTGAAATAAAATTCCAGAACAGAAGCCTACACAAGTAATTTTTTATGCTTTTATTTTTCTTTTCAGATGTGGTTCTTTTTTTATAAAAGTGTTCCTTATATAGTTAATGATGGAACTAGTACCAGGAAAACTGTATCCTTATTTCTCCAGAAATTTAAAAAAAAAAAAAATCAATTACTGAATGACCCTTTTTGATAAAAATCTTGCTGCCCTGGATGGTTTGGCTCAGCGATTAGAGCATCGATCCTCAGACCAGAGTCACGGGTTTGATTCTGGTCAAGGGCACGTACCTCGGTTATGGTTCAGTCCCTGGTCTGGTCACGGTCGTGCAGGACGCAACCAGTCAATGTGTCTCTTTTGCATCATGTTTCTTTCTTTCTTTCTCTCCCTACCCTCCCTCTTTCCTTCCCACTCTGTCTGAAATTAAATGGAAAAATATCCTTGGGTGAGGATTAAAAAAAAAAAAGTCTTGCTAAGCATTTCAATAACTCTTGAATTAGAAATACACCACAGCCCGGCCGGTGTGGCTCAGTGGTTGAGCGTCGACCCATGCACCAAGAGGTCACTGGTTCGATTTCCGGTCAGGGCATGTGCCCGGGTTGTGGGCCCAATCTCCAGTGGGGGGCATGCAGGAGGTGGTCAATTGATGTTTCTATCTCTGTCTCTCCCTTCCTCTCTCTCTAAAATCAATAAAGAAAAAAAAAGAAATAAATGAAATTTAATTACTCAAGATAATCACTATGCACAAATACTAGATTTGCTTTTTTGAGTTTCCTACTAAATTGTAAACTCTATGTCTTTCTCATATAGCCCCTATACCTAGCATAGTTTCTTGGACAAAGTAGGCACTCAATAAATGATGAGTTATTGGCTGGATGGGTTCCAATATTAACTCCTTTATCATTTATCTCTTAATGATACAACTGTACAACTACCTAGGGCTCTGTAATACATTTTCCCTGAAAAATTTTTGAAAGAAAGGTTAAAGCAGTTTCTACTAAGCCATATCTAGGCTCTTAAAAATGACTTCTGTTCATTATCTTTATGAATGCTTCATTATTCAAAACATCCTCTAATCTAATCAGCAGTGACTTTCCAATTGGCTTCAATTCACTTTATTACAATAAAGTCAGGGAACCTGGGAGTCATCCTTGATGACTCTTGTTCCTTCAAATTATAGACTCTATCACCGAGTTACCCTGATCCCATCTCTAAAATATATTCTAAATCCATCTACCTCACTCCTATGTCCACTGCAACCTCTCTAGTTTAAGCTGCCAGCTTCTTTCATCTGGATATTGAAAACGCCTCAAAATTAGTTTCCCTGCTTCCATTCTTACCTAATTCTAATCCATTCTTAATATGGTGACCAAGAAAAAAAAATTTTTAAACCAAATCTGATCCTGCTATTTCCTTGCTAAAAAATCTTTCAGTGGTTTCCTACCAAAATTACAATAAACACCAAGTCCTAACTTACAGAAGGAAAATTCTTTTACAGAGAAGAAACAAAGAAGAATATTCCCAGATCAGATGAATAAATTGCTGTTATTGTTTAATCCACAATATAATTAATCCTCTGTTTCTCATCCATGAACAAATTATTTGATTATTCAATCTGAATTTCCAACTTTACCTGCAGTGCTTGTTCTTGGATATCACGAAATAACTCCATATCTTTCTCAGTCATGATTTCCTGGCTCCCAAAAAGCCGTTCCTCACTTTCTTGTTTGCCATCCCAGCCATCTTGATTGTCTGTACATAAAGAAAGTGTGCACACATTATCAATATACTACCCGTAGTTTAATACATTATCTAGAAAAAAATTTCAGAAGTCTTTATTTCAGTTTGAAGACCTCAATATTATTTATTATTTTATAACAAAGAAGAGGATAGCATTAAACTGACTCCTAGAAAGATATTAGTCAATAAAGAATATATATATATCTGCTTTATAATAAAAACCTTGAATTGACTTCTTAAAAATACTACATAATTGAATTTAAATATCATTAAAAGAGATTACATTTTAATGTATTATATAACACATACAAAAGCAGAATAGGAAAAAGGGCTAAGGTGTACAAAATTTATTTTGAAAGAGTATGAATATAACACTTTTAGTGTAAGTTTAACGTAACATTCAAACACTGTTTTTTCATTCCTTAGTAGTATGGAAGAAGTTTGTTATATTAAGACAACTTTCATCACCTGGGAGGAAAACAGGGAGACTTTGCTCTTTCCAAACTTCCCAATGATCCTGTAATCATCATAAAGCCAATACATTCTTATCTTAGCAAAAAGATAACTTTCGAAATAGCTACCTTAACTGATGTCAAGAAGTACCAACTCCCTTCACATTCTGGGTGCCCCCCCCCAATGCTTTTTAATTAATTAATTTATCTTTGTTACACATGTTTCTCACTTTTCCCCAATGATACCCTCCCTCCCCGCTCCCGCCCCCCCCTTCATAGTATTGTTGAATATGTCCATTGGCTATGCATATATGCATATACATTCTTTGGTTTCTCTCTCTCCACCCTCCTTCACTCCCTTTCCTCTGAGGTTTGTCAGTCTGATCTCTACTTTCATGTCTGACTCTATTTTGTTCATCAGCTTATTTTGTTCATTGATATTCCACAAATAAGTGAGATCATATTTGTCTTTCTCTGATTGGCTTATTTTGCTTAGCATAATACTCTCCAGGGTGCGCTTTTAGAGTAAGAACTCCACAAACCTGAGGATTATATATGATAATCCTCTGAATAAGTATGATAAATCATAATAATCCACTAAACAGCCTATTTTCCTCAAATGAACAAAGAAATTCGTGAAGGAGTAATTGGGGGATTACGTGGATCATTTTCCTTTGCATTTGAAAATGACAGTGTTGATATTGTGTCATCAGCATTTCCTCTCTGTATGAGTCTGAAAAGACCAATTAGTGAGGTAGTTCTTTTCATACCAACTGCACATATGTCTGTTATTCATTTAGTATAAGAAAAAAGACAAGGACTCAATGTTCACAGTACAGTCGTCCTTCGTCACTTCACGCTTCGATTTCCGCGGCTTCATTCTATCTCAGTTTTTCCAAATATCAAATATCAAAGTTGATCGAAACAGTGAAAATGATACAGTGCACGCTCGGTTGTCTGAGTCAATTATACACCCCTGTATTACAATTAAAATTAAAATTACTGTACGTATGGACTGTAGGCCTACGTATTCGAGCACCCCAGGAATCCTTCAATGCCCGGTGCAACTGCTAAAGTCTGGAGTGGATTAACAGCAATACACCAGGGACTACTGTATTCCCAAACTGAAAAATACATATATACACTCTAAAGATACTATGTGATTTGAATGCCCCCTAGTGCATGACACAGATAGATGCAGGCACAGAACTAGAATAGCATCAGTAACATTGTTATCAGATGGTGCAAGATTATTCCTTAAACTCTAAAACTCATAAAAGGAAATGACAGAGACAATTAAAACAAAGGCTCACACCAGTGCCTAAAGCTCAATATTGATTCTCCATATACTTTATACATTTGCTCTAATAAATTTCTATTTCTAAAACTTTCCAGTAGATTCTTCTAATAATCCATTTACAGTGAAATGGTTAATTCAAAAATGCCTTTCATTAAGATCTGCTTTATGTGATTCTTTCTAAGTCCAAATTAAATGGCTTACATATCTTCGTAGATAAATATGCACAAAGAAAAGCACTTAAATACTTAAAGAGTAAGTAGTTGACTGCCACTCAGGTGAAATCTGATCAACTGGGGAACCTGACAATGATGAGAATTTTCTCTTTTGCAGTGGACCAATCAACCATTTATATAAGCAAGAATGAGGAAGCAGTAAATACAATCATCAATGGGACATGCAGGGGAAGGAAATCAAAGACGAAATTCTCTTACAGTATATGAGACAAAAGAGACTTTTGATCCAAAAAAGCCCATTCTCATTCTTCTCCTTTCCTCAGAGCCCTTTCAACTTCCTTCTCAGGGTTAGGTTCTCAAAACTCAAAAGACTCAAGCAATAAGGCTAGTTTAAGCTTTAATTATTTGAGCAGTTAATTAAAATTTTATCCTGACTTGACTCTCCTGCTACAATATAAGTATTCTCCACAGGTGTTTTCTACTTTGAGCAGTAGAGAACATGGCCAAATACATAAGCAAATGGTCTGAAGCTACGGTTCTCTCTTTTTTTTTAAGTGTAATCCATGAAAAATTACAACTATATTTGCCAAGATCTGAAGTAGAAAAATCAATGACCTTATATTTGCATATATTTTATCATTTTCCTTATGCTTAAATCAACAGCATTTTATCCACACTTACTCTTTCCAATTTCCTTCCGGGAATAATGTAAGCCTCACAATGCTCATTACATGATTTATTTTGTAATTTATGAAATGTAAAGTTATCCTTGTTTCAAGATTATAGCCCAGCCCAACCGATGTGGCTCAGTGGTTGAGCACTGACCCATGTACCAAGAGGTCACCAGTTCGATTCCCAGTCAGGGCACATGCTCAGGTTGTGGGCTTGATCCCCCGTGGGGGGCATGCAGGAGGCGGCCAATCAATGTTCTCTCTCATTGATGTTTCCCTCTCTCTTCTCCCTCTCCCTTTCTCTCTCTCTAAACTCAATTAAGAAAGAAAGAGAAAAAAAAAAAGATTATAGCACAAATTTCTGTAGGCAGATTCTTGGTGGTTCTACCAAAAGAAGCACCTTCTTTTGTCTAAGAGCTCCTATTTGTCCCTTCTGCAACTTCATGTCTAGCCTCTAAACTCTTGCTGTAGTTATCACCTTATTATCATTAACTATGCATCTTTAATACATTGTTATATTCCATAACTAATTTTTAATAATTAAACATAAGTCTACTCCAGAGAGCTAGTTATTCCAAATAAACACTTTTAGAATACTTTTTGTTTCTAAGTGAACAAACTTTTACCTGTGGGCCAATCTGAAGTGCTTGATTTTCTGTTGCCCTTTTTCCTGATTCTATATTGCTCAGAGTAGTCTACCACTTCCCCTCGTGGTTTCCGCCCATCAGGGGAAGGGGTGAAGAATTTGGTAAGGCCATCAATGAGCCCTTTGGTTTTCTTGTTGAATTTCAAGGAGACACTGCTATCTCTGCAGAAGTCCAAGCCATCTATTCGCTCTAAATATCCTTCTTCTGAAGATGATGCTGATTGGCTAGAGAGAGTGATTTTCCGTTTCCGACCCCTTCCAGGACCAGTTCGAACTTTGCTGAAGGGACCTTTTGATCTAAAGAATCAAATAGGGAAAAGGATAACTATTAAAAAGAATCTGCATAAGATTTCTATTTAATATATAACATAATTAGTAAATAACCTACTGATTTATTTAAAAACCTTTATTATTAAGAATATTTCACAAACTGTAAATATTATATAAATGAGAAGTAATATTTTTTAAAACTCTGTTTCCGAGAAGCCCTAGTTATTTTATAGCGAAACAAATCCTAGGTCAGAAGTTATAAGGCATGTTTGAGTCATTAATTCTGCCACTTACTAGCTGTACATCTTGGACAAATCACTTTCTCTCTAAACATCAGTTTGCTTCTGTAAAATGAGAGTTGGACAAGAAAACAAGTAAGATCCTTCCAGGTATCAAGTCCTATGATCTCTGTATCAACTCAGACTTACTACTTTTACCTTTAAACACAAGAGTTACTCTCTGAAAGTGAGGAATCAAAATATCAATTTATAGGAAAATTACAGCTTGATTTAAGATTTAAAATGTGAACTACAGGCCCTGGCTGGGTAGTTCAGTTGGTTGGAGCTTCATCCCCATATGCTGAGATTTCGGGTTCAATCCCCAGACAAGGCACATAAAATAATCAACCAATGAATGCATAAATAAGTGGAACAACAAATCAATGTTTCTTTCTACCGCCCCCTTCTCTCTCTCTAAAAATAAATCGACTAATAAAAAATATTTCATCTACAATGATGGTTCTGTATATTTCAATCTGCTATTGCCCACCATTTCAAATGTATCACCTTCAAGATACTCTTAAATGTAGAAAAAGTGGATCTAATTTTTGAGAATAAAGAGAGACTTATAGGCTTAGTTATTTTACATATCAAAAGTAAATTACCTTAGAGATACTTAAAAAAAACAAAACACAGAATTAGCTATGAAATCTTGCCCCACCTCCTCCAGACATAACCCAGTTTTCCTAGTCCACAAGGGATAACTATATCCGATTTCTGTTAATAGAGCAAAAACTTGCATTATTTTACCCCAGGACATAAAAATGACACTTAGCTATGACCTTAATAGAAGCTATCCAGTGATTTGTACATCTAATAGACATAAACTACTGAAACTAATTAATATCAGAAGAGAAATCTGTGAAATGCTACAGTAACATTATTTTTTCTTTCTTTTTAGTATAAGGCAATATTTAAGAGCCAGGCATTGTGCCAGGCTACTTGAGTTTTAATCCCAACTCAACATTTACTATAAACTTGGGCAAGTTAATCTCTCTATGCTGTAGTTTCCATCTTTGAAAAATAAGAGAAACAACAGTACCTACTTCATTGGGTTGTTGGGAGTATTCTATGATTTAAAACACATAAAGCACTTAGAAAGTGCTCTGGCACTTTATTAAAAGCTCAATAAATGTTACATTAAAGTGCCAGTTATAACCATTAAAATTGTTTTAATAAGGCAAACAAGGGAATCCTACACTATAGAGAAGGCTCTGTCAATAGAGAAGGCCCTATCCTTTTCTCCCCTCACCTTGCCACAAGTACAACTTACACCGTGTTTTGTTTCTTTAACCTGTTTTTTGGACGTCCTATTGGATTAGCATAGCGCCGTTTTATCTGTGCCGCCTTCTTCTGTAGAAGTTTTCGTCCTTTTTTCCTAGGTCGACATATTTGACATATCCACATGCCTATAGAGAAAGAACATTCCACATAAAAACACAATAGATATAAAAACACTGAAAGAGTTCAGATACTCTAAGTCAGGAGTTCTTAATCTCTTTTAGATCAAGGAAAATCTGATGAAAGCTATCTAGAAAAATAAACATGAAAACATACACACAAAATTCTACAAACAATTGAAAGAGATTTACAAATATCTGAAGCCCACACATGGCTCAAGTCCACTAATCCTCAGTTAAAAATATCTGCTCTATACCTAGCACCCAGATACTGGTTTCTAATTACCATTCTACAAGAAAAGAAGCCAGGATTCCACAGAGTAATGGATAATTCTAGGACTGTCACAGGGAAAATACAAGATAACCTAGACTATCTTGTGGTGCCATATCAAAAGGACAAAGGAACCAACTTGAAGGCGCTCCCAATAGTCAAATCTGGATCAAACTGAGCACAATAAGAAATAACTCCAACAATGAGTTATAACCCATAGAGTAAAATAAATATGGTGAGTTCATAATGACATAAATTAATTAAATAGAAGAATCCCAATTAATAAATGTAAAAGGAATGATGAAAATAGAAAAATCATTATCAAATACCACAGTAAAAATTGGTGCAAGCAAGAATCACTAATGATTGCTAAAGTTAGTGGGCAAAGCAGAAAAAGAATAACTTTAAGGTATCTGTCAAGTTTCTCCACTGTAATCAACTGATCAATGTTAACATTATTAGTAATAAGACATATCGGTATAATATTCCCCTGTTATGATGATAAGGGCACATCATCACTTTTGTGGTACTCATGTCAAACTTCATAACCTCAATCTAATCTAAAGCAAGAGACAAACCCAAATTGAAGGACTTTCTACAAAATAACTAACCAGAACATCCTCTTCAAAGGTCAAGGTCAGAAAAGACAAAGTCTGAGGAATTAACACGGACTGAAAGACACTAAGGAAATATGACAACTAAATGTGAAAGATCCTGGATTGGATTCCAGACCAGAAATTCAAATAAGGTCTGCAGATTAGTTAATCGTATCATAACAATGTTAGTTTCCTGGTTTCAATAACTGTACTATGGTTTTGTACGATGTTAACATTAGGAGAAGCTAGCTAAAGGGTACAATAAGAACTCTGTGCACTATTTTTACCACTTTTCTGTAAGTCTGAAATTATTTCAAAATAAAATGTTTCCTCCTTTAAGCTGCTGTAAAACTTCTTTTGTAGACATTATATACACAGGAATGAAGTCCTAAGAAATCTTTCTTGTCCTGAAGGATTCTCAGAAGGCCTTCTGCCCAGATTTCAAGTAAATTAAAAAGGTCAAAAGGGAGCATTTATTCTTCCAATACATATAAATGTAAGACTTTTCAAAAGGTAACAATCAACAGAGTGGCATTACAGGGACTCAAGTAAGACCCTAAGGTGGAATAACTTGGCTATACCTACGGTTGAGTCCTTTTCCATCAAAAGAAAAACTTTCCCAAACAGATGTTATAAAAATCCTATAAGCATTTTACTAAACCTATAAATCACAAAATCAAAGTTGAAAATGAAATCTGGTAAGACAAAGCAGGGAACACTAACTGGATTTTTAAAAAGAAACTATAAGCATATGATAAGATGGAAGTCTAACCAACAGGCAACTATCCCAACAGCAGTCAAAGAAAGAAAAACATTAAGCTGTGATTTGGGCACTTCTTTGTTTACAAATTATTTTTCAGTTCTGAATAAACAAGAGACTCTAATAACTCTAGGTCCCTCAAAAGTAATGAGCAGTGCCCTGGTCGGTTTGGTTCAGTGGTTTGAGCATCAGTCCGAGGAAAAGGCTTGCAGGTTTGAGCCAGGGTCCCAGTCCAGGTCGTATTGGAGGCAAACAATCGATGTGTCTCTCTCACATCGATGTTCTCATTCTCTCTCTCTGTCTTTCTCTCTCCCTCCCTCCCTCCTTTCCACTCTATCTTTGAAAAAAAAAAAAAAAAAAAAAAAATCAGAGGAGAAATATGGTTGGGTGCGGATTCACAACAGCAAAAAGTGATGAGCAGACTTAAATGTGACTCATGAATCCATAAAAATCCTAGAAGGAAATGTAGGCAACAAAATTTCAGACATCATATGCAGCAGAATTTTCACTGATACATTACCTAAGGCAAGAGAAACAGGAAAAAATGAACACATGGGACTACATCAAGCTACTCAGCTTCTGCACAGCAAAAGTAACAACCATCAGAATGAAAAAGGAACCCACTGTATGGGAAAGTATAATTGCCGATGATACATCAGATAAGGGGTTAATTTCCAAAATATATAGAATGCTCATACAATTCAACAAAAGGAAGACAAAGAACCCAATTAAAAAATGGGCAGAGGACCTAAATAGACACCTCTCAAAAAGGACATACAAATGGCCAAGAAACATGAGGAAATGCTCAACGTCACTAATCATCAGAGAGATGTGACTTCAAACAACTATGAGGTATCACCTCACACCTGCCAGAATAACTACCATCAACAAATCATCAAACAACAAGTGCTGGTGAGGGTATGGAGAAAAGGGGACTCTAGTACACTGCTGGTGGGAATGCAGACTGGTGCAGCCACTATGGGAAACAGTATGGTGTTTCCTCAAAAAATTAAAAATTGATCTGCCATTTGACCCAGTGATCCCACTTCTAGGAATATATCCTAAGAAGCATAAAATACCAATCTGAAAGAATATATGTACCTCTATGTTCATAGCAGCACTATTTACAATTGCTAAGATCTGGAAACAGCCCCAGTGCCCATCAATAGATGAGTAGATAAAAAAGCTGTGGTACACATATACAACAAAATATTGTGCAGCTGTAAGAAAGATCTCTTATCCTTTGAGACGACATGGAGGGACCTCGAGTATTATGCTAAGCGAAATAAGCCAATCAGAGAAAGACAAATACCACATGATCTCACTTATTTGTAGACTATAATGAACAAGGTGGGCTGATGAACGAAATAGACCCAGACACATAGAAAGGAGTATGGTTCAGACTGACAAACCTCAGAGGAGCAGGGTGGGGGGATGGATGAGATGAACCAAAGAACATATATGCATATAACCAATGGACATAGACAACAATGCTGGGGGGTTTAGGGGGTGGGATGGAGAGGAGGGTATCTAGGGGGTAAAAAGGAGAAACATCTGTAACAAAAATAAATAAAAATTGGAAAGAAAAAAAGTGATGAGTAGTGATACAATCAATATCACCTATTAATACAATTTCATTTCTTCCTTTAAAGAAAGAGATATTTCAAAATATTACATAAGGCAAGTATTTTGTCCTCTAGCTACAGGACTGGCAAATATTTATAAATTAACCATTTCATCCTCTATGGATGCGTAAATATTGAAAAGAGAGGAAAATAATAATAAATCCATATCACATAAGAATGTCAGGATTCCTAAACAGAAAGATTTTCCCTCCCGTTCAGGTGATGATTTTCTTCCTACTGTAAACCCCAAATAAAAAGTTACGAATTAGTCCTGGCCGGTTTGGTTCAGAGGTTAGAGCTTCGACCTGTGGTCCAGAGAGACCTGGGTTCGGTTTCCGCTAAGGGCATGTACCTCGGTTGCAGTTTGTCCCCAGCCCTGGTTGGGTCATGCGGGTGACAGCCACTCGATGTGTCCCTTTCACATCGATGTTTCTCTCTTTCTTCCTCTCTCTCCCTCCCACTCTATCAGAATAAAAAATAAAAAAATGTCCTCAGGTGAGGATAAAAAAAATTAAAAAAAGATACAAATTAATTTTTCATTTTAACAAAACAGATAATGGTGCTTTCACTAATATGACCCTTTATATTGCCAGTTTGATTTCAGAAAGTATTTCTCACCTTTTGGCATCCGGGTGAGTGGCGGATCACAGCACTCCATGTGAAAACCTCGGTCACAGGAATCACAAAAGAGCATGTTATCCTAAAAAAGAAAAAAGACAGTTCTCTTTAACCTTATGAAACAGAAACATATCAGGATCGTGACTTCATAAAACTTAGGAAACTTCAATGATCTCAGAAAGGAGATGTGTTATTGAAACAGTAAAAGTTTCCTGCCTAGCCAGTGTGGCTCAGTGGATTGAGTGTCAGTCCCATGGACTGAGAGGTCCTGGTTCGATTCCCAGTCAGGGCATATAGCCGGTTTCAGGTTCAATCCCCACTAGGGGGCGTGAAGGAGGCAGTCAATTGATGTTTCTCTCTCTCCCTTCCTCTCTAAAAAAAACAAAAAACAATTAAAACATATTTTTAAAAAAATCTAGGTCTAGAGATCTTTGGGATGGAGTTTTTAAAAAATGTTTCCCTTATTTGTATTAACTGAGTAAATGGACAGTCTGGGTTAGCAAACAGTTTTGAGTTTTGCTTCACCTGATCTTCAATAAAAACTAGTTTCATTACTTTCAAATGTATCTAGTAATCAGATACAAGCTAACTTTAGTCTATTTTAATAATAAAAAATGGTCAAACTGTAACTAATACACTAACTGACTAGTCCTAAATGAAAGCCTCCATACTATTAAAACAATTTTGAGGTACTATTTTAAAATAGCTTGGCCTCATCCTGGCTGGTTTTGCTCAGCGGTTAGAGCATCTCAGCCCGTGAACCAAAGAGTCGTGGGTTCAACTGCAATCAAGGGCACATACTTCAATCCTTAGCCCTGGTCGGAGTTGTGCGGGAGACAACAAATCAATGTGTCTCTCTCACGTCATTCTCTCTCTCTCTTCTCCCTCCCTCCCTCCCTCCTTCCCACTCAATCTGACAATAAATGGAAAAATATCCTTGAGTGAGGATTAAAAAAAAAAAAAAGACAATACCTGTTGGCTTTCAAAAAAGTTTAAAAAAAGAAAATAAAAAAGGTTGGCCTCTCTACAAATGTATAATTAACGGGCTTTAGAAACTACCTAGAAATCATCCAAGTCTCAATGAGCAAGTATACTAAACTAATACTATGTAATTTAAAGAGGCTACTGTTCTAAATTCTGTTGGACCAAGTGACTAAAAACTAACCAACCTTACATAGAATGTACAACAGAATGCCACTTGTACATTTTATTTCTAAATGAAATATTCACATTGGAAGGTGAAGATACTCACTGCATTTTTGCCTTGATCTCGACAGGAGCTGCAGGTTTTACACTCAATACACTGCCACCGTAAGGCCTTCACTCTAACCGTTAGTTCGGGGGAAAATTTTAAACAGGATGGATGACCTAACAAGAGGAGAAAATTCACAAATGAAACCATCAACTGTTTTGTAATTGTATTAAAGGAATAATGTAAAAAAGTCAGTTATCTTAAATCAAAATACGTATCAAAGGAAACAGGATGGTCCTGGAAGCCTGCCATACCCATCTCATTAGAACTTACATTCCAATTCAGTTTTATTAATGCTAAATAGAATTTAGTACACACCCCACAAATTTGATTATAAAAAACTTGACAAACTCCAAGTTTTTATTAAGCCTGCATTTAAAGCATTATGTATGTACACATGCTGTATGTATACAAATACATAACATGCCTAGGCCATTTCTGGAAGAATATGCAAAAACTTTACAAGTGCAACATACTAGAATATGGAGCTACAAACATTTTGAAGAAGGATATTACACTTCATTTTATAACCTTTTGTGCTCTCAACTTTCTTAACAATGACATGTTACTTTTATAATTAAAAAATATATAATAAAGCCCTGGCCGGTTTGGTTCAGCAGGTAGAGAGTCGGCCTGCGGACCAGAGAGTCCTGGGTTCGGTTCCCACTAGGGACACATACAAAAAAAAAAAAAAAAAGTCTATATATATGTGTATATATATATGGGAATATATAATAAATGGGATATATAATAAAAATCCCACAATTTAAAGTGAGTTATTTGTTCATGATTTAAGGCACTCAAGCTAAAACTAAAATGCAAGCAATATTTCTACTGTGATAAAAAATAACAGTAACAGAAAAACATGTTTCCTCTTCCAAGAATTAGCATCAGTTTGAGTCTCAAAAATTCAGAGTAGCTAATTTACCCTTGACTCTGAAAAGATTTGTCACTTTCCTCTAAAATTTGGTTATTATTGTTACTATTATTATTATTGGTGAGAGAAAGTACTGGCTAAATTACTTTCTCTCCCCCCTTTTCTATTCCTAAATAATAGTCTCTTCTATGAAGTGGTAAGAAGTTTATCATCAAAATATCACTAACATGAAAGGAAAATGGAAGAAGAGGTGTAAAAATTTCATTCATAATCTCAACATCCTAAAATAGCCATTTTCATGTTCTACTTTTCCTTTTAAACTGGCTAAAGGCACTTTCATGTTTTAATTATAGGGTATATACAGCTTTGTTTTTCTTCATTATTTTATTCAAGTAAATTTTATATTTATATTCCTAAAACTGATTATGTTCCACTAAGTTGACACATTATAACCTACCCAACCATGTCCTTATTGTTAAATACTTAGACTATTACCCATAATAGTTAAAACACTAAAATAAATTATTTCATGTCTATAGATTCTTTCCTTTTTTTTAATGAATACCTTACACTAAATTCCTGAAAGTGAGGTTGGTGAGTGAAATGAAATAAACATTTTTAACAGATTGAGAGATAAAAATGCACTGCCAAAACATGTTTCAAACCCTATGATCTATCCAGTGCCACCCGCAAAGTACGAGTGTTTTACCATAATTTCATCAGCTCTGTCTTTCAGATTTTATTATTATAACAGCTATGAATCATTTCTCTGGTGCTTTGGTGCACATTCCTATTATTATGGGTGAAACATTTTTTTATATGCTCAACTATTAAATTTCATATAAACTGCCTGTTCATAGACTCTGTCCCTTGTATTTTATGCTTAGAAATGTAAACATACTCTTTATATTTTATATAGCTTTTGAGCCTTTGTCATATTTAATGCAATTATTTTCCCCAAACAATTCTTGCTTTTTAAAAAAATTTTGGGTAGTTCAGTTCTCGATTTGGAAAATATCAAATTCCATATATTTGACTATGTCCATACTTTTCTTCCTTGGTTAGTGTGATAGCAGCCAGGCTCCAAGCTGCCCTCCAATCATTCTTGCCTCCTGGCAAGAACGTCAATTCACATCCTTTTCTAGTTCACTCTCACAATGAATATGGCTGGTCTGTGTAACCAATAAGATACTGCTGAAATGACAGAGTGTGAGTTCTAGGGCTAGGTTATAAAAGATATTGCAGATTCCACCTTGCTCTCTCTATTAGATACCTGCTAGGGGGAATCCAGTTGCCATGTTGTAGACATACATGCAGTTCTATAAAGAGGTCCACACAACAAAGAACTAAGACCTCCTGTTAACTGGCAACATTAACTTGACAGCCAGTTAAATGATTTATCATGGAAGCCTTCAGATGACTGAAGCACCAGGTGAAATCCTGATTGCCACCTCATGAAAGATCCCAGGTCAAAACCACCCAGGTAAGCCACTCCCAAATTCCTGACCCACAAAAACAACAGGAAAATTTAAAAAAATGTTTATTACTGCTTTTAGCTTCTATGTTTTAAAGTAATTTTTTCTACAGCAATAGATGTTATTTATTCTACTAGTTCTTTAAAAGTTCCCTCTTCGGTGAGTTTTTTAATTAAATTCTTCCCTAACTTTCAGAAAGTTAGAGATCACCTCAAATATAATGCTTCTTAGAAGGCAAGTCTATAACACAACCTTCCCCCGGGGTTCTACTTCATTCCCACCTCACTTACAGTACATTTTCATGTTTCAATATTTAGTTCCCATAAGATGTCTGAAGGGTTCCATTATTAAAATAGTTGGGCAATCACTGCACTGTGTAACATGTCATTATATTTTAACCTTACGTTTTATGGTTTATATTTAACTGTGAAATCCATCCAGACTACACTATGCTGGATATGGTCACCCTACTATGCAAGATTTCTTCCCAATTTCTTCTAATGCCTTCTAGCCATAAAAACTGAAAAGCTAAAAACCAAACTTCCTAGACTCCTTTGCAGCTAGGCTTTAGATACGAGCCATATTCTACCAACTGGCCTTTATGGCTACATAGAGGCAGTTGTGATGATGGCCAAATTCAGCACGTCAGTATCCAACTACAGAACTTAATAGTTCCGCAGTAGCCTCCCACTTAGACCTCTTTCAGATGGAGGCAGATATAGTAATTCCCTTGGTAGGTCAGTTCTGCAATGTCCCAGGAATCAGTCCTTAAAGCCCAGCCTAGAGCTTGCCTCTTATTGTACCATTAAATTCTTTTCTTCTTGAAGTGTCTAGTGTGTTTTCTGATTTCTGAAACAAACATAAAACACTGAAAATTAAGCCAATGATAAAAGATAAAACTGACTGGCTCAGGACTTTCTGCTAAGCCTTGTAAGTTCCTTCTTCCTCCTTAATTGTTATTTTTAGCAAGAGAAAGACAGACAGACATTGATTTGTTATTCCATTTATTTATGCATTCATTGGTTGATTCTTGTATGTGCCCTGACCAGGAATGGAAACTGCAACCGTGACATATCAGGATGATGCTCTAACCAACTGAGCTATCCAGGTAGGGCTAGCCTTGTAAGTTCTTAAAATGTAGATCAAAAATATCTCTGGAATTGAAAAACTAAGAGACTCTTCGCAAAATCCCTTTTTAAAGCCTAAAATTTCACACAGCTCACTAAAATGCAGTATCAACACTTTATTTCCCAATTTGACATATGTAACTTTCTATCAGGAAAAATAAATCTATTACCATCCTGGTTCTATTCGTGAAGCCTGAGGCATAAGTCAAGAATGATTAGCAGTGATTTTTTTTTTAAAGCAATAACTTCCTATTGATTACTATAATTTGAACAGATTCTTGATAGTGAAATATAAACAGGAAAAAATAAGTCTATGGAAAACTTTTTGCAAAACAAAACAACAACAAAACTAAGACCTGATTTAAATTAATTAAAGGAAATATTTCAATCATACATTTAAATCCTTCCCTTGTTTAGAAGCTCATCTAAGTTACTTAAAACCAGAATCAAATTAAAATATTACTTTTGTAAGGATCAAGAATACCAACTCAGCAAAATATACTCCCCTCTTGCCTGATAGCATGTGTCAGAAAAAATATAAAGGGGTCCTGGCCCTTGTGGTTCAGTGGTTGAGCATCGTCCCATGCACAGAAAGGTTGCTGGTTCGATTCCTCATCAGGGCACATGCCTGGGTTTCAGGCTCAATCCCTGGTAGTGAGTGTGCAGGAGGCAGCTAATTGATGTTTCTCTCTCCCTCTCTAAAAATCAATAAACTATTATTAAAAAAAAAAAAAAAATCAAGTGGATCTACATACCACTGTTGCCACAGTCAGCACAGGAGATGAGTTCTTCTGGCTTCTTTTCTCGGTTTTGCTCTTTTGTACCAAGACAGAAACTACAGATGGGGATTGGTTCAGCAACTGGCTGTAAAGAAAAGCACAATCATTCAGGCAATAGTACTTTTGCTTAGTATTAAAGACATTAAAATTATACTTCTAAATTCTTACAAGAGTTACATGTAACTTTAGGACAAAAACATCACTCTCTTAAATTTCCAATTAAGTAGGTGAGTTTTTACTAACTGGTCCTTGTAGTGACAACCTTGATCCAAAAAATCATATCCCAACCAGGCTGGTCATTTAGAAACTAAATGACATGGTTATGGATTAAACAAAGCAAACCCTTTACCTAATGTTGAAAAATTAGACTAAATTAAGTGCAAAAAATCACAATATTAATTCTTTAAAAGACATGTGATATAGGAGAAGAGTGATAAGATATATACAAATAAGCATTACATAAGGCAGAAGACATCAAGTGCTATAAGAGAGAAACTAGTGCTCTGTACAAATGAGAAAGATAAATTCTAAACGTGGTTTGGAGAAGGGTTGAAAGAGGAAGACAACATGTATCAAGTACAAATACTATGTTACCGGATCTTAAGAAGCTTGTCCAAGGACATTACATAACAATTGTTAAAAGCAGGTTTAAACCTAAGTTTCCACATTCCTCTGTCTACAGCACTATCTCCCCATCCCAAGGATGGAGAGAAAGGCAATACAGGTAGCATAAACAAGATGAACTCAGGTGTGCAGTCTGCTAAGGTCAGCGCTTGAAAGATATGGTTTCTATGATAAGCTTGGGGGTTTTGGGGTGGGGAACTAGATCAGTTTGTGAAGACTGCCAATGAATGTTACATAAAGAAGCTGGACTATATCCTGCAGGAAAAGAACATTAAAAGGTTACTGAACCACCTGGCAGGTGTGGCTCAGTGGTTGAGCATCGACCCCTGCATCAAGAGGTTGCCAGTTCGATTCCCAGTCAGGGCACATGCCCAGGTTGTGGGCCCAATCCCCAGTGGGGGGCATGCAGGAAGTGGCCAATCAATATTCTCTCTCATGGGTTTTTCTCTCTCTCACTCCCTCTCTCTCTCTAAAAACCAATAAAGAGTAAATAAGAAAAAAAAAAGGTATTGAACCAAGAGATTATTGTTCACCTGTATTTGAGAAAAATATCATTCTGGTTCTAGTCATGAAGGCTGAGGTACAAATCAAAAAAAATAATTCCAGTAGCAATATCAAAGACATATGGAGGAAGAGCTAAAGATAGGTAGAACATTTACATAGTGATTATAATAGTCTGGTGAAGACAAGACAAAATGAAATAGAAAAAATAGCTATTTACTTAGAAATTAACTACTTGTGGAAGTGACAGAAAAATAAATGAGTTAAACATCACTAACTTAACTAAAAAGATGGTAATACCATCAACTGTGAAAGGTAAGTCATCTTAAAGAAGATAATTAATTAGGCCCTGGCCGGTTTGGCTCAGCAGTTAGAGGGTTAGAGTGTCAGCCTGCAGACCGAAAGAGTTCAATCCCCAGCCCTGGTAGACAAGGGAGGTAACCAATCGATGTGTCTCTCTCACATCAATGTTTCTCTGCCTTTCTCTCCCTTCTTCCCTTTGACACTACCTAACAACAACAACAACAAAATCAATGGAAAAATATCCTCGAGTGAGGATTAACAACAACAACAACAACAAAAAATGAAGACAATTAGGAGGAAAGCAAAGAGATGAGTTTGATTTCAGGTATGTTTAGTTTGGAGGCACCCTCAGGCACAATTTATGCTAGGCATTGTGCAAGACAGCAATATAAAGCCTTCAAAATGTTTTTAGTTGACTGGGGGGAGGGGGGAGATAAAATGTTTGACAGAAGTATTTCATGGTAAACAAAGAAGTGATTGAGTAGAAAAGGGGTGTCAGGGAAAGGCTTTACAGACCTAAGTTGTTCTGGAGGTATTAGGCAGGCCCCACCTGATAGTAGTGTTTAAAAAAATACAGGATTGGGTCTGGGGGTAAAAGCTTGTTTTGGGACTTATTGAGCTTAAAAGGCCTATTAAACATCCATGTAGCAATACCCATGGACATTACAATATAGGGATCTGGAGTCTAAGTGAAAGATTGGTTTGGAAATAAAAATCTAGAAGTCATCAGAGTTGATGAGATCTCCTATGGAGAACAAATGGAAAGAATAGAGTTAAGGTCAGAACACCAATATATAAGTGACCGTCAGAGGGAAAAACCTGAAAAAGAAATAGATCCATGAGATAAATGAATGATACATCAATATAGGAATGTCCAACACATGCAAACTAATAGTACTACTCAGCCAAGAGATTAGAGATAAAGAGTTGGAAGTTGTCTCAGTAATTTTGGCTATGGCCTGGACGGTGTGGCTCAGTAAATTGAGCATTTGTCCCATGGACCGAGAGAAGTCCAGGTTCGATTCCTGGTCAGGGCACATGCCCAGGTTGCAGGCTCAATCCCTAATAGTGGAAGCACAGGAGGCAGCCAATCAATGTTTCTCTCTCATGTCGATGTTTCTCTCTCTCTCTAAAAAAATCAATAAAAACATATTTAAAAATAATAATTATGGCTATGGTAAAAATTACCACATTTCTTTCTTTTAAAAAGAACATGAGCCCTGCCGGTTTGGCTCAGCGGGTAAAGCATCAGCCTGTGGACCAAGGAATTAAGGGTTCAATTTCAGTCAAGGGCATGTACCTTGGTTGCAGTTCCGTCCCTGGCCCTGGTTGGGGTCATGTGGGAGGCAATCAATCAATGTGTCTCTCTCACATTGATATTTCTCTCTTTCTCTCTCTCTCTCTCTCTGTCTCACCCTCCCACTCTATCTGAAGATACATGGAAAAATATCCTCTAGTGAGGATTTAAAAATAAATAAATACAATATGAAAAAGAATCAGAAAATAAAGTCGGGAAAGACTTCATCCAGGAGTAGAAATTTGAAATAAACTCTAAAGAAGGCCTAGAAAGAAGGCAGAAGCAAACTCATGAGGTTTGACCTTTATGCTACAATCTCTAAGTAGCATGAAAAGATTTTAAGCAAAGGAATATGACCAAGATTTAAATTTTATAAAAGCCACTCTATAAAGCAGTTGAAAATGGATTAAAAGAAATATGACCTATAATCCAGGCCATGAATAATGAGGGCTTACATTAAAGCATTGGCCCTAGCCAGTCTGTCTCAGCGGTTAGAACGTCGGTCTGCAGTGTGGAGAGACCCAGGTTTGGTTCCCGCTAAGGGCATGTACCTTGGTTGCAGTTTGTCCCCGGTCCTGGTTGGGTTGTGTGGGTGGCAACCACTCGATGTGTTCTTTTCACGTCGATGTCTCTCCCCCCACCCAATCTGAACAAAAAAAGGAAAAATGTCCTTGGGTGAGGATAAAAAAATAAAATAAAATAAAATAAAATAAAGCATTGACAAAAGGAATGGAGAAGAGAGATAAGCAATATTTAAAAAGAACTGGCAGGATCTGATGGCTAATTGATTTAGGGTGAGATGCACAGTAAGGAAGATGGAAGACTTAGCAAGACATCATTAAAAACGTGAAAAGGCAAGCCACAGAATGAAAAATATTAACAATATATTTAACAAATGTTTGGCATCCAGAACATTTAAAGAACTCTTACAATCAGCAAGGAAAAGACAGACTACAATAGAAAAGTAGGCAAAACACTTAAATTGGTAATTCACAACAGAATAGATGAATAATATATAAATGGCCAATAAACACAAGACAAGATGCTCTGCCTTACTAGCCATTGAGGAAGGAGATCTTCAAGAATGGCTAAACTTGTGAAGATTGGCAATAGTTAAGTATTGATAAGAAAGTGGAACAATAGAAACTCTCTTACAATGTTAACTAGAATATAAATTGAAAAACACCACTCTGAAAACCATTTGACATTATCTACTAGAATTAAACATAGGCATACCATATGATCCAGCACTTCCTCCTAGCTATCAACCCAAATGAAGTGCATATACACATAAACAACAGAACATACATAAAAATTATCAGAGCAGCATTATTCATAACAAAATTTACTGAAAACTTACCAAGTAACTAGCAATGGCTGCACACATAAATAAACTGTGCTATATCCATACAGTAGAATATAACAGTAATAAAAATAAATTAGTCAATAACATGTATGTATATCACAAACAATAGTGAATGGAAGAACAGACAAAAAGAATACACATACTGTATCATCTTAAAGTTCAAAAAACAGTTCTATATTGTTTTAAGTCAGGACAGTGGTTACCTTTATGGAGAAAGCAAGAGGTAGAGTATTACAAAAAGACTTATGAAGTGCTAGTAATGTTCTTTTTCTTGACCTGGATGTTGTTTCATATATGTAATAATTAAGGTACAGGCTTACAATCTGTGTACTTTTCTGTTTGTATATTTTAGTTAGAAAATTAAATTTAAATTAATGAACATCTATAGTGTTGGACTGTGGTACCTTTGGAATATTCTACAAGAAATATCAATGATGATTTAGACATTGGAGTTTGGAACTTAGGATAGAGAATAGGCTAGAGACAGATTTAAAAGACATCAACATGCCCTGGCCAGTATGGCTCAGCGGTTAGAGCATCGGCTGTAGACCAGAGAGTCCCGGGTTTGGTTCCCACTAAGGGCACGTACCTCAGTTGCAGTTTGTCCCCGGCACTGGTGGTGTTGTGTGGGTGGCAACCACTCGATGTGTCTCTCTCACATGGATGTTTCTCACTCTCTCTCTCTTCCTCCCTCTCTCCCTCCCGCTCTATCTAAAGATAAATGCAAAAATGTCCTCGGGTGAGGATAAAAAAATATAAATAAATAAATAACATCAACAATACACAATGGAATACTATGCAGCTGTAAGAAATAAAGATCTCTTATCCTTTGAGACGACATGAAGGGACCTGGAGAATATTATCCCAAGTGAAACAAGCCAAGCAGAGAAAGACAAATATCACATGATCTCATTTACTTGTGTAATATAATTAACAAAACAAACTGATGAACAAAATAGACCCAGAGACATAGAAGTAGGGTACAGACTGACAA